TGTATATTTTTCTATATAAACATTTTAAATTTTAGATTGAACAAGGAAAATATGTTATGGCTGAACGTATTGTAATCTTTTCTAAAGGAAATAATTCGGATGTACTTGTTGTTGATGTTAGTGTGGATAATATAACATGGAAAAGAATTACTTTAACATTTTAAAATTAATAAACTAAATGAATAAATTAATAATAAAAATAAATGAGCGAAATTAATGTTTGTTCTTTTCATTTTGTATTTTCTATAACCTATTTGTACTTATGTTATTCAAGAGAAATGTTTTGCATTCTATAACAATAGAAATATTGTTAAACTGTTTTGTAAAGTTCCTGATGGGTATGAGGGTGACGTCATGAATATTCTTTTTATTTGATGTTCATACTTACACCCTCGTATCCCACTGTAGTTTGGAAACGTCTAAGACGTAGGTCTTATACATAGTTCGATGATTATAGATTGACAGTTAGTTTGGAAACATGATGCTTTTGTCAAACAAGAGAGCTTACAGCAATGCTTCTTTATACAATTTGTAATCATTCGGTGATGAATAATTGTGAAACATGTGATTCCCACAAAAAAGAAGTGCATTAGAAACTATTTAAAATTATATTTGGGATATTTTCTACCAAATACATTTGGCCATAGTATTCTTCATTTATTCATTATCATTCGCAAATAATCAGCTGAAATTTCTGAAGATGACATAATCAATATTAATATTTTGACGTTGTTTGCTATCGTTATAACTTAGCACAATAACTTCTACGGTTCTTTTCTGATATATCGAGTAAATATCATTCATATTATTTATTTAAAACATATGTGACTATGAGAAAGATAAATATAAATAAATGCTTGCTATTTCAAATCAATCCAAAAAAGCATCGAAGTAGATAATCATTTGCATAGTTTTGACATTTTGCACATAGTTCAAGCACATTTATCTCAAAATACAAACACTGTCAACTATCATATTGAAGATTGTTCGAAACATTGACAGAAATAACTTCTATAGTAAATATATATTCTGATCCTATTAATTTTGATAAAAATATACGTTTCGAAGATATGTCTTTTGTGAATTAATGTACTGAATATGACATCATTCAATCAGCCATCCGATATATATTAGTAATTATTGAAATAGTTCTTGTTGTTGAATAGACTTGAAATGTTATATTATCACTGTTGCAGTAAAAATTTGAATTTATAATATGTTCTTGACATTAACTGTCATTAACCCTTTACCCCCTGGCACTAATCTAGCAGAGCTGGTATTAAGTCGACCATAGTAATAGATCATATAGTGCTCACTATGACACTGATATGGTTGAGTTTGAACGAAGTCGTTTCCCTGTGCAGATATAGAATGGGTCAAAAATGACCCATTCGTCTTGAATGCCATAAAAATTGGACTTTTCTCAATTGTGTACTTATTTATCTAAACAAAGATAGAACTTTCGTCATATTCCGAGTTATTCTCAGAAAAAGAATACTTTTCGAGACAACATATGAGAAATTTTATTTTATTAAGGGTGTGGGTGTGGTGACGAAATGGATGTGAATCAGTTATGGTCTGTTCTTCATCCATACCCACATCCATACTCAACCCTACACCCACACCCTCAAGAACAACATACATTTTATATAGGACATTTTTTATTTAAATTCGGTCAAATGTTCTAGTTTAGATATTATTCTCTTTAATAGATTTTACAATCGAAGATATTTTCATTTTCATTCATGTGTTGTTGAAGCATTTACTATTGATCTATTTTCTGTAAACAAATCTCTAAATATATTATATATTGTTTCTATATCTTTTTCGATCAAAATATTAAGTTTGCATAAACTTTCGAAAATGTATAATACACATACTTTTATTGACTTATTACAGAGTAATCTACTAGGTTATATTTTCTAAATTTTATTCGAAATTGTTCCTTTCGTAACAACTTGCGTTAAACAGAAACATAGTCATGTTTTTCACATACTTGTAATCATGTAACAACACCAGTTATTGTAATTTTTCGATCTTTTGCGTTGATAATAATAATCAAAAACAATAAACAACATACGATTGTGTCTAACATTTATATCTACTTAGGAACTACTTTGAAAGTACCATCGATGATTGAATCACGTTTCAATTCTATGAATTTCAGTATGAATAAATCAAAATTTTTATATCTTATTCTCATTTTAATAACAATGTTCTATGTCATTTCTATAGTTGAAAAAAGAAATATAGATGTAATGGATAGCATATGGTGTTAGAGTATAGAATGAAATAGACAACTATGATTGATATAAAAGTTTAAAAAAATGAAAAACTCAATATTGTTTGCACAACATGGCTACTAACAACGATAAAAAGAACTGTCTATATGCTCTTTTATCGGTTGTCTATGAAAAACAAAAACAGCACTTAAATTCATTTCTTTCGCAATGTAACTATATCTGTCACACAATAACAAAAATGTTAAAGTTTTTTTTTGTTTCTAATCTATTATATTGATCACAAAATTATTGATCACAAAATGATTCATTACTAAGATGACTGTCTACTAGAATAAACAAGGTGGATTAGTATTTTTGTGAATATCTCCTCATAAGAAAAAGATGAAGAAGTGCGCTTTTCGATGTTAGAAGGAGAAGCTAGCAGAATTCAACATCTACCAAAGTATAACTAATCAGTGACACATCAACGAGATGGCGGTGGACGTGACGTAAGTTTAACCCAGATATTGATCCCTCATGTATGCACATCCTCATCCACACCCTCACTCACACTATCTCTTTTTAATTTAAACTTTTTATTAGATAATTAGAAATTGAAAGCGTTTAGTGTGCAAAAAATGTCTCAAACTAAAGAGTTATTGTTTTATGCACTACTCATATAAAGAAATGTTTTGTTGTATGTCTGTTTACTAACGAAGTTTAGAACGATTTCTTCTACGAGCAAGCGACAGTTTTGAATTTGTTATTTCAGATATTGGCTGTGATCGTTCTTTATGTTTCATGCCTATGAGAGTTGTCGAAAGATCTGTTGATGGATCATATAATTCAACTAGTGCCTGAATAAAAGGGCCAAAGCCACCAGTGACTAGTACTTGTCCATTACGTAAGACAGATGATGTATGATCCTGTCGTGCACTATTTAAGTCTTCAACAGCAGCCCAACTACCAGTTGATGGATCGTATAGCTCGGCACTAATTAGAGGATCACTTTCAAATAATGCTCCACCGATAGTTAATACTCTTCCATCATTTAATAGACATGCTGTCGAATACGATCTTGGGTGATGTAAATTGCCGGTAATCGTCCAATGACCAGTTGATGGATCATACAACTCAGTACTTTTTAAATCCTTAATTCCACCTTGTCCGCCAATTGCTAATACTTTTCCGTTCTTTAACACACATGTTGACTGATAAATTCGAGGTTTGTTTAAACTTTCTTGAGTAGTCTATTTACCAGTTGACGAGTTATATAATTCAATAGTGTATACAGGAGAGTATTCCGTGATATCATTTTCTCCACCAATCACTAATACCGACCCGTCATTAAGTACAGATGCTGTGTGTCCATATCGTGCAACGTTTAGACTACCAGTAAGAGTCCATTTACCTGTTGATGGATCATATATCTCAGCAGTGTTTAAAGTTGGTCCATCACTATCTGATCCACCAACAACTAAGACTTTCCCATCTTTCAATACAGTTGCGGTGTGAAATACTCTTTGATGTGTCATATTACCAGTTTTAGTCCAACGACCCGTCGAAGGATTATATAACTCGGCAGTATTGAAAATTATTGCTTCGTTATTCCCTCCACCAGCAGCTAATACTAATCCATTGGGGAGTACAGATGCTGTGTGCCCCTCACGTGGATATATCATGTTACCAGTTTTGACCCATATACCTGCCGATGCATTGTATATCTCAGCAGTGTTGTAAATTATAATACCACCTCCACTTCCACCAGCTACTAATACATTTCCATTCTTTAATAACGATGCTGTATGATATGCTCGTACACATGTCATATTACCAGTATAATGCCATCCTAAAAGAAAACATTCGAATATATATTCAAGTTCAAATTAACTATGTTGTCAACTATCAAACAGACTATTTGACCCTCTTCAACAAGAAAAAATGCTCATTTTCGATTTGAAACTTTGTATAGACGTGAATTGCAACAAGAGTAGTTTATTGTGAAACTATTTATTCACACTTTCCCCTCTTCATCGAACATTATCTATAATCGTGAAGTTCTTCTTGCTCATGTGTAGAACATTGTTATTTTAGGAAAGTTCATAACTGAATTACAACTTTACAAATGAAATATTTCGAAGAGTGAAATAAATAATACTCTCAATTTTTCCGTCAGATCCAGCCAAATCGGACCTAATGGCTTTGCGTCCTATGACTATAACAAAAATTACTTCATATCGTCAACATACTAGGTATGCACTAAGTTCCAATCCAACTAGATGGAGTTTTTCTTAACTCATACTATATTGCAAGTATATAAATTGTGTACATCTATTTCTTGATAAGAATCGAAACTTTCACTTATGTCGATACTTTCAGATTATAACTAGTTCAATATATAGACATATAGAAAACAAATAGTTTTCATGTATTAGTATAATCAAAATCACTAATAACTATTGCATGATAAGAACGATTGACGATACTGAGTTAGTATCATAGATTTCGATGAAACTTTGTTTATATGTAGTCCCAAGTGTTCTGAAAGGAGATTTCCTAGTTTTATCTATGATAAACGACCTATGCTTATCTAACAACAAAAATTACCCGATTTCACACTTGTCATAGCCTTGAGATTTCTTTGAGAAGTCTTAACGAAGTTTAAGACCAGCAATAAAATTATTGTTGAAACTATAAATAATAAGAATAATAATGAATACATGTTTATCATCTTTAGTACAATACTCACTGTATATTTCCTTGTTATACATATTATTTTATTTTGCACCAAAGCCAAATTATTCAGAAAATAAATGAATGAAGAATCGTCTGCAACTAGTTTATATATATATATATCTATTATTAGTTTAACGAGAACAACAAAATGAAAATATTCTTATCTTTATATAAGAAAAATACTGGTCGGAAGAATAATGTAAGTTTTATATAGGACATTTTTTATTTAAATTCGGTCAAATATTTTAGTTTAGATATTATTCTGTTTCATGTGACGTTTGAGCATTCATTATTGATTTGGTTTCTGTAAATAAATCTCTAAATATACTTTAGATTGTTTTAATATCGTTTTCGATCAAAATATTGAGTTTACATGAACTTTTCAGAGTATGCAATACACCTACTTTTATTGACTTATTACAGTGTATCCTATTAAGTGATGTTTTTGTAAATCTTATTTAAGACTGTTCTTTTTTAAAATTACTTTTAGTAACTTTTCTCCTAACAATTTGCGTTAAATAGAAATACAATATAACATAGTTATAGCATATAAGACTGTAATATACATTCTGAATATTGCAGAGACAGTGTTGATGTTAAAATATTTTTGATATGATTTTAATTGTGTAACATAACCAGCTGTTATCATTCTTCGGTATTTTGATTTAATAGTAATGAATGACACAGAATTTTAAAGAAAATCAAAGAACTGTTCGAAAACTAAGTATGTTGTTGTAACTTGCTCTAAAAAATCGATCAGGAAAGTATTTGTTTCAACTTTTGAGTAATAATATATTTGATATAGGATTAAGAAAAACTAAGTCATGTTTAGAAACTGAAGCAAAACGAAATATTCTCATTGTTGATGATATTGATGGTGAGTTTATCATGTTCCGTAAGAATATTATTCATGTATTTATTTTATGAGATGGTGAAATCTATCACAATCTTTTGTTTTCTTTGTAAGTCTAGGTGCGATACTTTTAATTACTTTTACTGTTAAAAATACATCATAGCCATAGATTTTTAGTGTAGTATTCATAATATAATATTCCAAGACTATTTAAGAACAGAAACTGTTACAATGATTACTAATACATATATACATCAGATTTTTTTAATCAATCGAATTTCTTATAATCAATCTAACAGAGGCATCTCTGCTATTGTATGCTTTTTAAATAGAGAAAATACCCTTACCTTTTTTTCACACATTAAAATCAACAGGATCAGAACGTAGATTTACTGTAAAAGTTATTTTTATCACTATTCCAAACAATCTTCAGCATGATAGTTGACAGTATTTGTGTCTTAAGATAAATGTACTTATATTATATACAAAATATCAAAACTATGCAAATCAACATCCTCTTCAATGCTTAGTTTGATTTGATTTGAAATAGTAAGCAACTATTTATATTTATCTTTGTGATTGTCACATATGTTATAGTATTAATAACAGTAGTATTAGAAGGTTTTGAACTATGATTGTATTATCAATTACAGTATTATAGAAGAAAATATAAAGAGCGAATCCATCAATATAAATATGAAATTAACGATATTTATTCGATATATTACAGAAAAACCGTAGAACTCATTCTGCTAAATTATAATGACAACAAACTATTGAAAAATATTAATATTGATTATATCGTTCTCACAAAGAATACTAAAGTCAGACATGTTTGATAGGAAATATGCCGAACACAACTTTAAATACTTTCTAATCCAATTTTGTTTATGAAAGCACACATCTCACAATTATTTACCACCACATGATTAGAATTCGTATTGAGAAACATTGATATAAACTCTATTATTAGATAAAAATATTTAACCTTCGCGAACAGCAAAAAAAACATTATTTCCGATAACAGGCTTGCATCAATTGAACTTTATAAAGATCTAATTGTTTTTTGATAATTAAAAAACTCTGCCAATGAATTGTTTTCTAAATATCAATCTTAAATCATCCAACTGTGAACAAGAACTATGTGCTACATCTCTTCAGAGTAGAGTGAGGATTGAATAAAAAGAATAAGCATTAGTTTAGTGCATTTATTTTTATTCTTGATTTATACAAGTAATTTATTCAGTTTATTTTGTTTTAAAATGTTAAAGTAATTCTTTTCCACACTATATTATCCACACTAACATCAACAACAAGTACATCCGAATTATTTCCTTTAGAAAAGATTACAACACGTTCAGCCATAACATA